TACTTCCAAAGAGACTGCTTTTGTTCCACATCCTTTGTGGCAATAAGAAGAGCACCGCCTTTGTGATTTCAGTAACAAAAAAGGTAGAGATAAGGCACAACTACCCTTCCGCAAGCTAATCTGTCTACTTTTTCTCAGCCCTGTGACCCTCTGTGTGGCCCCTGTACATAAGCCAGGGGTTCCTGGGCCCTTCCATTGTGGGCAGAACAACTAAACAGCTCACTGTACAAAAGATGCGGTCAGTGCTGGGCCTAAGGATTCAGTTTTAAGGAAGCTGGGGGGCCAGATTGCTTCTAATTCCGTAACATCGCGTCCTAAAATGGGTAAACCTGAAATGACAGGGCACTTCTAAAGTGCTGAGAAATCCCACCCTTGTGCCAACAGGTAGCACCCTCCCGGAGCGGCAGTGAGCGCTCCAGTAGGAGAGTCAGGGCCTGGGCAGGGGGCCTCCCAGCGGGCAGAGGGCACAAGATACCGCGGGTGGCCTCGGCTTCGCAGGCTGTTCAGCGCCTTCTGCTCTGCTTCCTTCCCTCCTCCTCCCTCCTCCCCTGGCTCTCCCACATCTCCCTACCTCCATATCCCAGGTACATCCTTGCTCTTAACAGACAAACTGGAAAGCATTTCTGCTGATTTCAATACTGAAACATCCTCAAAATCATATGAAGTGACTCTCAAAGAACAGAACAATATAAAGGGAAAGACTCTCTAAGCTGGAAGTCAGGGCACCTGGGCTGTTTTTGGACGCCCACCAGCAGCAGGCTCTGTGACATTTTTCAAGTCACCTCACCTCCCTGAACTAACTTCTTCACCTATTAACTGATGGCTCAGGCTTAAAAAGTTCCATGGCTTTATTTTTGGAGGAATTTCAAGCCCTTGTGGAGAGAGAAGAAACTGGGAGGTGGAGGCATGCTTCAGACTTATTAAGTCTAATGGGTGATTTCCCGCCCTCTCCCCTTGTTTGTAAGGCTGCTTTCGGGTGTGTGGCCTCCTTGTGAGACAGCAAACATTGAAAAGAAAAATTCCCACTTTAACCCAATACTTACTGATGCCCCAGAAGCTCATCAAGATGCTAAAGCATAAAAGTTGAATAGAGAATGAGGTCTGAGGACCTAATGCATAACATGGTGACTACAGATGATAATACCATATCACCTAATTGAAATTTGCTAAAGAGAGTAGAACTTAGGTGTTCTCACACACAAAGGTAAATACATGAGGTTTTAATTCACTCAGCAGAGGGAGTTCTTTCTGAATGTATATTGAATCATCACGTTGTACCCACACTTTCAACATCTTACAATTTTATTTGTCAATCACACCTCAATTAAGCTGAGAAAAGTTGAATAGAGAAAAGAGCAATGAATGGGGACTTGGAGAAGCTGCTTCAAAACACAGTGCTTTCCATCACTGACCCTGAGCAGCCCTGCACCTATCACTGAGAAGACCCATGGGTCTTTTACCAAAGACAGCATTTGGGGTTTATCCAGATTAAGAGGCTGCTCCTCATGTCCTGACTCCCCTTTCTTGCTAATTCTCCCCAAACCATTTCTAGGCCCAGGTTAAGATCTCACCATATCCTTTTTCTACTTCCTGCCCCATATCCTCCTAGATTTCCTAGCATGTCAACTTCCCAGCCCCTTCACTCAGGATCTGCTTGTCCTAGATGAGTGGTCCAGTCCTTCTGCCCCATAAATGGACTCGAACATAAAGGGATTTGGAAATTCAAATATAAGAGCTCTTCCCAAAGCCCAAGCCTTTGGGGTACTTAAAATCTAGTCCTTGCACATAAGAAAATAAAACTGATCTTGAAAAACCAATGAATAAAGAGTGTTAGGTCATGTGGTAGAGATAATGCATGCTTCAAAATTGCACAGCAAGAAGAAAGAATGCCACATAAAGTCACTGGAGAGCACCTCACAGAAGAGGAGGAGCTTGAGAGGGTGTTGGAAGGACAAGAAAAAATCTGTTGGTGACTTTCCTTGGCTCTGGACACCAAGGCAGCTGAATTAAAACAACTTTAAACCATGATCTGGGGAACTTATTCAGAAGGATTGAATTAATGATGTCTTCATTTTAGAGAAGCTATGATTTTGGTCTATTCTAGAAGAAAATGATTTTTGGTTGCTGCTCACTTCTAAGGAATTTTCTACTGCTAAACATTTCCAACATTTAAAAAAATCTCTAGACAAACTCACAGCCCACCTTGCTGTTCTCTGCTAGACAAAATTTTATTTTCAATGACTTGCTCCCCTTAATCACATGCAATTTTTCACCTAGCTGTTACTAAGAGTCCTTTCCTTCTATTTCTTTACTGGCCACGATTTTATGTCAATCCCACATCCAATTAGGGGAATGGGGAAAAAGGAAATCCTACAGCAAAATGCCATATGCCATACAATTTCATTTTAAATATATAATCCTCAGGGATAGTAACTTGGCAGAGTGAGAACTGGACCCTCTCCTGGAAGGCCCATCACTTGGGTCCTCAGATTATTGGCCTGAAATAACAGCACTTTCAGACTGAGGACACACACACACACACACACACACACACACACACACACACACACGACACTATCGCCCACATTAAATATGTAGGTTTTCTTTTTTCCTATCTCTGCTTCTCTCAAAGCATCCCAGAGGGATTTAGGTGTCTGAAAATACTCTCAGCACTCACCCAGCAGGAATGTGGGTGAGTTCCCAATAGCTGCCCCAGCATCCCTCCACTGAGCTCCTTCCATTCCACCAGAAAAGGCAGAGTACCACAGCTTGGGAAGACTTTGTGTTTGAAGCAAATTACTCCTACACCGCTTGTCAGCTTTCTCTAACAAGAAAGCTCTTCCCTGCCACCATGTAGGTCACCTTCCTATTTATAAAACATGTAGAATAATATTAAGATTCTTGTTCTTGTTTGGTTGAAAAAAAGCCATGTTCCAAGAAAACTCCTACAGTTTTCTTGGGATTCCTAAGGGATTCATACAGTCCCTTAGTCATGGAAGCAGCTAGCCTTACAGGACATTCAGTGAGCTTCTACTCAATCCATGTGACTAAGCCTAAGGGAGATTATCTTTTTATAAAAGAAGAGATATATCCTGCTTCACATGGATCTCTTGTGAACCTCTAGCCCTCAGCTGATCTGTAAAAGATTAGCAAGTGGGCCAAGGGGAGCTATCTATCCCTCCGAAAACTGTTATCTAAGTACCTGGTATATCATGAAGAATTAGTAGCAAGTGAAAAAAAAATCAACTTTGAAGGAGCAAGTAGGATGCTGGGGAAGGAGAAAAGCCACATGGGTGGCTGCTGGCTGAAATCTTCAGAACTGTTTGGATGACTCATTACTTATAACTTCCAGGATAGGAATATGATTTTGACTAATCATCTGATAGAGACTTTTATTTTTGCCTTTCAACATGTGAAATCTGTCAGGTTTAGTAATGACTTAAGCAACAAGCTAGTGTCCTAGGAACATACTTGTCCTCTTGAAGACCTTGATGTATACTGAGTAACGGGAAAACACTCCATAATCCACACACATACACATGCACCTTGTCACACAACACTCCCACACAAGAAAAGTGAAATTGCTGTTGGATGAATGCAAACTCGTGGGTGTTTCCAGCCTAGGAGTCCTGCCAGGTATGAGTGCTAAGAAGGCAGGTGAACCCCAGGGCTTTTCCCAGCGTGTGGCCGAGATCCTTATTTGGCAAAGCTACTATCTGCGTCTGGAGTCTCAGGGCCAGCCTGATAATGCAGGACCACAGCACGGGAAGTGTGGCTGCTGACATCCCAGCCAAAAGATGAATGGAATTCCAGGCAGCTGGAGTCATGCTGGCTTGGGACAGTGTCTTGGAGACCAGACTTCGAATGACAAAGGCATCAAGCAGGCAGCGTTCAAGGCAATTTGTGCACCCGCAGAAATGTAACCCACACCTCGGTTTCAGGAGCCGAAAAATGAAAAGAACGTTTAGGGAGGGGGAAAAAAGGAACTAAAATGATAGGCACAGGGAAATTTATGACTCTATGGGTCCGTTCTGTAAATAGTTTAAAACCCCAAAGCCAGATGGTACTGCAAATCCTCCAACCAGGAGTCACGTTAAGAAGCACGAGTGGGCACAAAAACTGTTTTTCAAGACACAATTTCAATCTTGGCTGGAGAGAACTGGATAGGATAGGAGTAAGTTTCCTTAACATTCCTGACGAGAAAGAAACCGTCCTTTCGCGTCCCCTTGATCGGAATACACATACCGCCCCCAAGCGGCAAGCTGTGGAAGCGCCGCAGCAACTCGGAGAAGCGAGTTTTCTCGCGGACTTGGAAAGAAAGCAGCCGCAGAAGAGTGCGCCCCGACGGGCAGCGGCTCCGCGAGCTCTCACACCGCCCCGATGGCGTTCGCGACACCACCCTCGGGTCCCTTTCTGGGGCAGGAAGAGGGCCAGGGCTGGGCGCGTGGTCCCCCAGCCCACTGGATGGATGAAGGAGTAGGCAAGTTCCCAAGAGGGAACCTCTTTCACGGCTGGTTCTCTCTGGTCCCATTTACCCCGTCGGGCTCTTTTTTTTTTTTTTTTTTTTTTAA